AGAACCATGCAAAATCAATTTCTAACAGCTGTTTTGGGGGCTGGACCCGAGTAAGCTAATTTGGATTTCAGATTATTTTAGGGGTTTTTGGGGGGTGGGGGGGAGGGGGGGGAAAGGATTCTATAAATCCGGTTGAGACTCTGGAAAACTCTGCTATTTCTTATCCTCTATCCAATGTTCAAAAAATATTTTAAACCATGGTCAAAACACGCGGTTTTCATACCGACCGACTGTAGAACCGGAAGAGTGCTAATGAAAGGAAGTTTAAGTAATACGAAAAGTTGAAGCAGTCAAAAGGGTCATGCAAAGAAAGTGGAAGTACAAGAAGCACATGGAAAGATCCGAGCAAAGAAAGCACAATACCGAGAAGAGAGGAATCTTGTGGCGGGCGCAACATATTGCAGTTTGCCACGGGTGCGGAAAATTCCAAATTGCACGCTCGCGCGCACTGCCTCGGGGTGGTTCGCTCGAAGTAGTAGAGTAGTAGTAGGAATCGTTAGAGGTAGTAGTGGTAGTGGTAGTGGTAGTGGTAGTGGTAGTGGTAGTGGTAGTAGTAGTAGTAGTAGTAGTAGTAGTAGTCGGAGTAGTAGTAGTAGTAGTAGTAGTAGTAGTAGTAGTAGTAGTAGTAGTACTGGTAGTAGTAGTAGTAGTTGTCACCGACATCGTCGTAGTAGTAGTAGAAGAAGTAGGAGCAGCGGCAGTAGCAGTAGCAGTGAAGTAGTAGTGCTAGTAGTAGTAGTAGTAGTAGTAGTAGTAGTAGTAGTGGTAGTAGTAGTAGTAGTAGCCGCAGCAGCAGCAGTAGTAGTAGTAGGAGTAGTAGGAGTGGTAGCAGTAGTCGGAGTAGTAGTAGTAGTAGTAGTAGTAGTAGTAGTAGTAGTAGTAGTAGTAGTAGTAGTAGTACTAGTAGTAGTAGTGGTAGTAGTGGTGGTGGTGGTGGTGGTAGCAGTAGCCGATGTGAAAGAAGGCAGCAGCAGTAGCAGCACAACGCGGACAAAGCTTTTGCAGAGCCACAGGGAAAGACTCTTCCTGAAAAGCAAGATGTCGTCCGCGATTTAGTCTGTTCCGCCTGAAGATCTGTGATCACGGGGAAAACACGTCTTCCTGCGAAAATCAAAGTAGTAGCGGTTGCGCTGGCGGCGGCGGTGGCGCGTGGAAAAACATTCCTGCGGATATTGTAGTAGTAGGTGCGGCGGGGTAGCTGCAGTGCTAGCAATAGCAGTGATGGTGGTGTTAGGAGGAATATTATTAGCAGGTGGCAGTGAAGTAATGTTAGTAGTAGTACTACTACTATTCATAGTAATAGTGGTAGCTAGGGTGGTAGTAGTAGTAGTAGCAGTAGTAGTGGTAGTAGTGGTAGTAGTGGTAGATGTTGCATTTGCGCTTGTAACTGTAGTTCGGTTCAACAAAGCCTAAGCTTCATACCACACATCGTGTTTACCAGCAGTGCGGGGGGGCGCCACCCGTCGGTATACAAACGGTATTGAAATGAGGGGTTTGCTTCTCAACCTACCACATGGCGCCACAAATGGCGGCGCCGTGTACCAGAACTATACCCATTGGGGGGGGCCCGCCGGCCGGCATACAAACGGCACAGAGATGAAGGTTTTGCTTATCCTCACAATGGCTGAAGCTGAAATGCGGCCCACTAAATGGGCTGGCCAACTCAAATTCCAGAGCCTGCCAGGTTTGTTTGTCAAGGCCAGCTCCATGCATGCTGCCTCTACACAAGCTCCACTGCGCGCTCTGATTCTGAAAGCCGCCAAAGCCGGTTTACGGCTTCCAAAGCAACGCGCTGGCGCTTCAAAGCGTGGGACTGCACTCATGGCTGTAGGATGGCACTGGAAAACAAAACTGGCCCGGGCAAAGCTCTCAGTGGCCCACAGCTCACAAAAAGTGTGTTGATGTCAGTTGTCTGTTGAAAGATGTTAACATTGATATGGGTGTGTGTCATACACCGTGCGCAATCATCACAACACAGCTTGGGCCCACACCAGGCCTGCCATGCCAGGTTTAGTCCAATGCAAGCAAAACATGTAACAATACAGATAAGTCTAGTTCTGACTATTTCTCTCTCTCTGCCTCTCTCGCTGTCTCTCTCTATCTCTTTCTATGGCGGCGCCCGCGCCACACATCGTGTTTACCAAAACTATACCCGGTGGGGGGGCCCCGCCGGCCGGTATACAAACGGTACAGAGATGAAGGGTTTGCTTCTGAAGTGGCGGCGCCCACGCCACACATCGTGTTTATACCAGAACTATACCTTGCCCATAGTTGTAGCCGTGGCTGTACTGTAGCTGTCGTTTGTCGTTGTTGTTGTTGTTGTTGGCCATGTTCCCGAGACGCGGCCTCTGCAAAACGCAGTGTTTCTTGCGTCACCCTACGATGGGTCACCCTACGCAAAAAACAAGTTTGGGGAGTGTTTGGGTGTCTTGTTTAAACCCCCCCCCCCCCCCAGAATGCGTTTTATCAAGATCAGAGCAGCGCTTTGGCCGAGCAGCCT